AGTCCATAAAGTAAATTAACCAAATTTATTATGTCTAAAACCAAGATGTGCAAGAAACTTAAGTTTTCTTCAATAATTTGTTGGAGTGGACAATCTAAATATACAAAACACAATATGCAACCAGGACATCACAAGGCTGGCAACTGAGCAACTAATCCACAAAGGAATACCTACACCTTTCAACCCATCTGTTTGGTTTTCTTATTTCACTAATTCTTAATGTACGTAAGGTAAAGTTACAGTGGTATAACCAGACCATATGCAGCTCACTCATTACAGAGATACATCTGGTGGCTTTACCAGAGGATCACTGCAAGAGTAATGTTGAGAAGAAAAGTTCTTCATGGTAACCTCAGGCAGTGCTGCAATTGAACTTCCGCTGCTGCCATCATTTCCCATCACAATCCAGTTGTCCAGCACCGACCCCCTAATGAATGTTATAGGTATAAGCAAAATACCTACTTCATCTATGTACACTAGTTATGGTTCCAAACCGCACTAAGGGACGTTTTGACAGGTTGAATCAAATCAGAACTATTCAAAACAATCTAGTGTACTGTTTCTTCATTCTAAAAAGGATTACCACTATTGATAATTATTACATTCTCTTCTTGTCACTAACATTCAAATTTTAAATGCAATTCAAAAATCTGATTTACACAGAGTACGTTAATTTATAACTGTTTCTAAATTTGCAATGAAAAGCTGCCGACATTTTCTTCATTGACAAGATTTGAGGATTGTCGTAAAACTAACTATTAAGAAATCTGTCGCCCATTATTTTCACAGTAAAAATCACAACTACATATATGTCAATTACTTTAAATATAAACAGGCATACAGTACATAAATGAAAAGTTCGGATAACATCTTCTACTTAAGGCATCATCATTTTGGTTTGTACCAAATTATTAATATGTGCTTTGTGGGCAGTTATGTTTCATCATTTAGATGTTGCATAGGAATTGTAATAATGGGTTAAGTTTTATTATTGGTTCTGTTAATTGTCAGATTAGAAAACTTGAGATAAGACTTTCTGTTTGGTTAAAGTTATTAGAATAAGATTACTTTTTCAGGCTTTAAGTTCATGAAGATATTTTGGAAGTGTTATTTTAAGATAAGATTGATGGCATTTCAAGTCGTCCACAGAAAATAAATTTTTTTCACCACCCCAACCCCATGATCTGCATGTTTCTTTTAAGGTTATATTTGGTTATAGTAAAAATTATCTAAGAAACTATCTAAGCTTCCTACTTTAGAAGGTTAGACAGACTCCTGATATGTCAAAGCTTTATCTTCTTACTGACTGGAAATATGTGGTTTTAAAATGTTTGGACACCAGTTCCAGTTTTTAATCTTTAACCCTCCCCCTCCCCCCAAAAAGTCTGGATCAATAAATGGTTGTGAAATTTGGAGCCCACTACAAAAAGGAGCTGTTTAAGACAGTGGAACAAATAAGACAATTTATTTTGTTTACTGTAAAAGTTTACCAGGGAAAGAATTGTGTATATAATTTATAAAACTAACAAGATTAGATCAGAAAGTAAGATTGAAGTTCAGAAGTGTAAATTCTTGCAGCTATCTGGCTTGGCTAGTCTGGTGTTTACAAGAATATTTTTCAAATATCGTTCACTGTAGTCGCAGACATTTCAACATGATAAGATGGTTTATAAATGCAAGCATATTGAACATAGGGAAAAGAATTTGCATAAAATAGCACCTTCAACACATTGCTGAAAACTGATGACGTGTGATCACCGTTATCATGTAAAGAAATGTGGCAGGCGATTAGCACACAGCAGGATCACAAATAGCAAAAGAGATGAAGAATCAGTTAATCCATTTTTGTCAGAGAAAGCCGTTGAAGAATGTTAGCCAGGAGAGTTTCAATACAAAAGCAGAAACTCTTAAACATCATCAATCAAAAACATTTAACTTTCTTTCAATATCCATATACATGCTGCCTGATCTGCTTTCAATATTTTCTGTTTTCGTTAGGAACATTTAAGCAACTCTTGGATTGGCACATGGATGATAGTAAAATGAAGGGTATGCAGGTTAGTTTGATCTTAGAGTAGGATAATAGGTCGGTACAATATCGTTAGCTGAAGGGCCTGCACCGTGCTGTACTGTCCTATTTTCGCACCAGAACAACTTCTTGCTCTTCTTCAAATGGTGTTTATGGATTTTTTTTTAAATATCTGACTTAACAAGCAAATGGAGCAGGATTCAATGTCACACCCAAAGGATGACACACCCAACAGTGCAGCACTCCTTCAACTAACTGCACATTTTCAAGATTTGGTGTGGAATTTCAACCTACAATCTTCAGACTCAGAAGACAGCATTATCAGCAGAGCCAAGCTGCCACGCGAGGGATAAGATAAGCACAAGCATTTTCAACACACATTTTTGCATTTAATTTCCTGCCTTAGATTTGTGCCTAAAGTAAAACCTGAAAAAAGCAAATGTTCATGTAAACTGGAGCCTTTTAACTGATTTAAATCAGCTTCAGCTGGACATGGTTTCAAAGGGAATTTTGAGGGATTGTGAATTCGCTATAAACCATTACATAGATTAAAACGTGGCTTAAATAACATTTTAAAATTGGATCTGCTTAATGGCTCAGTTGGTTAAGATCGTCCAAAGCCATAAAATCCAATATCTGGAGTTTCTGTTGGGCATGCAATCAGTATCTGCTGATAATGTTACAGTTAATTTACCAAGGTGAAGTTGCACTCTGACTTTTTCGAAGAAACTCCACTAGCATAATACCAAGCATAAAGTCTGTAAGGATCAGTGTAAATTTCAATCTCTAAACAGAATGGCACCAATTGCGCCTCAAGGTTCTAGGGTGGTATGGTATAAAAGGTAAGGGAAAAAAATGTTTGAAACCAATTCATTATTTCTGTTGCTAAAGGGCAGATTTGGTCAGTGGCCTCAGCTGACTGCTGGTGAGGTAACTCACACTGGATTCAAGTGACTCTGGAGCACTTTGAGAACATGAAAATATTGTGACGAACATCTCCTCTCCCAAATAAAAGCAACTCACTTTCCCAAGCTGGAGGCATGGCTAGTTTTGTGGACAGGGACAGTTTCAGGCAAAGGAAGCGTGAAATAAAAACAAGAAAACTGTGGATGGTGGAAATCTGAAATACGAACAGAAAGTAGTGGAGAAACTCATCAGCATAGAGAGAAGCAGAGTTAATATTTCGAGTCAAGTGCCCCTTCATCAGAACTGAAAGTAGCTGGGAAAGGGTGGTATTTATGCTGATGATAGTGGTGGGGCGGAAGAAGGTTGGGTGAGAATAGGGTATATGGAGATACTGCCCACAGAGACAGAGAGAAAAAAGGGATCAGCAAACAAAGAGATTACTGATGACAAACCAAGGGAGAGATCATCTTCTAAGTCGTCACTTTTCATTAGCACCTTCCTAGCAAACACCTATGCTCTGTCCACAAAATGACCCTGACCTTCCAGCTGCCTGCCACTTCAACACACCACCATGTTCCTGTGCCAACATTTCAGTCTCAGGCTTGCCACAGCACTCCAACAAGGCTTGATGCAGGCCAGAGGAACAACTCTTTGTCTTCTGCCTTGCACCTTACAGTCTTCAGAATTCAACACTGAGTTTAACAATTTAAGGACATAAACACCCTCTCCATTTTCAGTACCTTTCTCCAAACCCCAGGTCTTGTTAGTTATAAGCTGCTCTGAGCACATCCAACCCATTTTCAACCATTTACTCTTTTCATTTGTATCTTTCTAGCAATTGTCTGTCTCAGCTTATCATCAACAATGTATTTTTTTGCCTATCCTTTTTCTCTCTCTCTGTCTCTGAGCAGTGTCTCCATATACTCTATTCTCTCCCAAGCCCCTCTCAACCTCACCTCCACCAATGGCATAAATGCCACCTTTCCCCTCCTGTTTTGAGTTCCCACAAGGAACAACTATACTCAAATGTTTATTCTCCTCTCTCACTACAAAAGGGAGTGTTAAACTTATACAAGGATGCAAATGGTCACTCATAAAATTCTCTTGATTTGATTTCACCTGGGTTTGAAAAGTTTGCTGAAACTCCAGGTCCCAGATATTGTAGGTTTGGTCCCCAGTACGTTGAGGTCAACAATCACAACCAAAGTGATGAACACACACTGCAGTTGATCTTAGTAAAACTGGGCTACAATGCAAAATATCTATCCATGGCTCTGACTCCAGCATCTGCAGTTCTTGCTATCCACGTTCTCACTGCTGGTTGCCACAGACTGATCTCTGTTGCAATGCACGTATGAATATTTGACGAGAACAGGATTAGACTCAACTATGATGCCCCCATACCAAAATAGCTTTTGGATACAATCCAGGTATATATTAATGGAGTAACAGTTTTATGCAAATGCTTTTTCAGTTTTGGATCAATGATTCCAATCTGACTTGTGTAAGTCTGTCTACACTAACCAGAAAGGATCGTGCAGGTGGAGATTCTCACCCCAATGTTTTATAAAACATCATGCCAAAAACTTTAGTCACAGTAGATAAGGAACATCATCACAAAGGACTGCCTCACAGCAGTGTGAAAGGCAAGGAACAAGCAAGACTACTTGACAAGTTCTACAAACCTTCACTATTCATATGTGGGAAGCAAAGTTTGTCTGAGCCTGCACATTGCTGCCTAGGTTTGTTCGGTTTTAGAATTTTGTACTTTAAAAAAAAATATATCTCTGACTTGTTAAAATTTGACTAGTCTCACTGTCAATTCTTTGTCAAGTTCAAGCCCAAATTCCTTACATATAGTCAGGAAGAATGACTACTTGGATGAAATACTGGATAACACCCTAGGTCTATGGAACCAGAGGCCAGCAATGATTCAATACACTCAGACTCGTAAGGAGCAGACAACAGAAATGAAAAAAATAAACCAAACATGCGATTGCACAATGAACCAAAAAACCATGTCAAGAACATTACTGTTTCTTTTGTTGTAATTCAACTTGGCAGTTACAAGGAAATGTTGAGATATTGTGGGACAAATATTTTAAGAATCTCAGAACATATTCTTCTTTTTGCCAAAACATTAGGCAAGATGTTTAATAACATAGAGGTTTTTCACAATCACATCAAGAAATTTTAACCATAAATAATGTAAAATGGCAAGACTTCGCAACATGCTTCAAAATATTCAAGAATTTGGATTACCTATTTTGTAACAATATTTTAATCGTTTGCAAATTCCAAGGTAAACTGCAATGGATGTACTGGTTAAGAATATCCCTTCACTATCAGCAATATATACATAAAGCATGGAAGCCAATCAGCTCAAATGGCTAATGAATGGTTTATTAAAACGCCAACAGCATGGATTTGACTCCCATTCCAAATGAGGTGGTCTTGGGATCTGCCTTCTCACCTTACCTCTGAGAATGAAAAATGACACGCCACCAGCAACAAAACGTTCCAGGAAAATAGCTGAGAATGAAGCATTAGCCGACTATGAACCAAGGATCTGCCTTTCAGCAGAGCATATAAGACAAATATACTATAGAAGGCTATAACTGAAAATGTTAAAAGCAGAATAATTTTTATTTTGTATCTTAAGTGGGTCATTTCTAGTTTTAATGATTTATTACTCTTCAAAAGAATGATTAGACCAAGTAGAACATGCTTGCCAGCTTTGGTATTTTAGGTTTAACATCTAGCACATCTGGAGTTGATCCAAAAGCTTTGAACATAATCTATAAGGATCTAAGCTACAAGAAGACTCCTTGGATGGGCATCTTAAGTGGAATTAAAGGTAAGAAAGACTGACTTCTTTAAAACACTTTACATAACAATAATAAGCTTTACGTCATATATTAATGTATGCTCATAAGCATTTAATGAAACATTAAAGGATTGTTCCTTCATCGAAACTTAATAGAGACTGGAATTATTACCTTTAATACTGTATTTCTCACTACCAACAATGATTGAGTGCTACCTTGTTATAATATTGAGAAATCTGAAGTATACTGCCACAAACTAATTTTTTTATTTAAGATTTCTCCTGCATTCACGTAAACTTTACTATGCTTCATGAGTATTTAAATTCTTATTCTGTATTCTGTTTTTTTTAAACTGTACCTAATACATTCTTTGCAATAAAATCTACTATTTTACCCTAGCAGTGAAATACTAAATGATCTACTGTAATATTAATTACTTTAAGGTGCATTGTATTCTTCTACCAGTTATTAATTGCTTAAGTCTATATAAGCAAATGTGAATGCCGATAAAATGGTAACAGAAGCAGCACTGAAGTAATTTTGGGTTATGAATTAATACAATAATGGGCATCAGATCAATCAACTACCATACAATTTGGTTAAATTTCTTTTACATGCAAGCAAATACGCCTAGAATTCCACAGAATTTTACAGGACCAAAAACAGATCAATCAGGTCCATCTTGGTTTTACGCTCCATAGTGTCTCCTACTACTACCTTGTGATCTAAATCACACCTTTACTTCTTAAGGTGTTTTGCTAGAGTATTATAATGCAAAACATTTATGCATTTTTTGGTACAAACAGAAGAGGGGCAAGGACATGGAGGAATTTGAAAACAAGGGTGAGAATTTTTAATTTCAAGCTGTTGAATGGTTAGTGTAGATCGGTGAACACAGGGGTAATGAACAAACAGAGTTTGACGTGAGTTAGGACAACGGCAACAGAGTTTCAGATAACCTTGGAGTTACAAAAGATTTCACATAGGAAGCCAACCAAGATCAAGAGGTAGAAAGGCAGGGCTGAGGGTTTTGTGTCAGAACAACTGTAGCAGGGGCAGAACAGGCCAATATTACAAAGGTACATATATGCAATCTTAGTGGAGGTGAAGGTATATGGCTGGAAGCTCCTCATCCTGCCTGCTATGACATCAAGTTTACAAACCGTTGGTTCAGACTCAGACAATTATCAGGAAAAAGAATGGAGCTGGGTCTGAGGGAGTATGTTTGTGGCGGGGACCAAAAACGATGACAGTAGGCATTGTATCCTGGATGATGGTTAAGCAGTTCACAAACTTAGAGGTGGTGCAAGATCGAGACAGAATTGAGATGTTGTCAGCATCCATGTGGAAACTGACACTGAGTACTCAGAAGATGCTGCTAACAGTCAGTATATGGAGAAAAAAGATGACAGAACTTTCGGGAACATGACAAATAACAGTATGAGAGCTGGAAGAAAAGCTATTGCATGTGATTCTTTTGCTAAAATTGGACTGACAAGAGCTGAACTGAGTTACAGCAGTCCCACTCAGCTAGATAACAATTGCCAGGTTTGGAGAGGAATTGCAAGATCAATCTTGTAAAAGGTTGCAGACAAGTCAAGGAAGAAAGGGCGGGGGGTGGATTTTATCACTATTTGATTTTGATAAGAGCCATTACAATAATGTAACAGAGGTGAAAACCTTGGGTGGAATCTTATTAGGCTCTGAGCAGTGTGGACTACGGTGAGAAAATGGTAGAATCAGCTGAGATATTCAGTGAAGCCCATCTTAATGTCAAAATCATCTCATTGCATCTTGGACACTTTTTTCTCAAGGGGCACCGTGAGATTCCTGCCAACAAGTTCCCCATTGACACTCATTATTGCTTGTTAAATGCCTTGTTAACAGCCCAACAGGTTACATTACCAAGCTCACCATACAAACCAGCTGTCAGGAAAACGTGACATGGAATCCGGAGTAGGTATATAGTGAATTCAACTCGCTGCTTGCTGCAAAAGGCCCCCCTGTTGGGCTGTGACCACCAAAATACTCCACAGGTACCAACCAAATACATCCCAGAACCATAGACACTGGCACCCAACATGTGCCAGCCACTATGAGTCTTCATGTCATATCCCTAATCCACCTGGGCTGCAACTACAACTATCACTGTAATGCTGCAGCAAGAACATTGTGCACTCATGGACTGGACCGGATTACAATTCCAGGCTTTTCACTCAGTGGTGTAGCATTCACTCACTCTGACCCTATCTCAATGCTCACAGTCTCCCTGCCTTGCATTGCCTTGCCTTTTAGCGTATTGACCCATCAGCCACAGATACCAAGCTCAAATTACTGCTGTCTTGCTGCGCCATTTAGTGCAGACACAAAGCCAGGAAACTTGACACTGATGTCAGCAGGTTTCAGTCCAGTCAAGGGGGATGTCCATCGCCCAGGGGATCCTGACACAGTGGATCTAGTGATAGTAGGAACTGCAGATGCTGGAGAATCCGAGACAACCTGAACAGTGGATCTAGTGCAGCCTCTGATATCAGTCCAGGCCCTGCTTGGGACCATCAGAGTCGGGTTCCTCTGCTCATAAGGAAGTGAGGAACTGAATGATGAGCAGCACATCACTGGTCTTGGCTCTTTCTGCCTTACTTTGGGCTGCTTTGCTCCTGGAATGAGACAGAAGGTGGCACAGGTATTACTGTGGGTACAGGTGGGGAGGTATCCCAAGTGAGCGAGACAGCCATGCAGAGGGTGTGCAGGGTGAGTGGTTGCATCATTTAGGGTGGATAATGGTAGGTAGGAAGATGTTGCAAACACTTGTGGAAGTGATAGAGTATAGGATTTGGTGGGGGGTAGGTACAGTAGCAGAGATAGAGTAATTGTGAGGTTTCAGAAAGAACATCATATACTGGCAGAGTGCAGAAGGTCATTGAACTTTTATCTACAATGCTGGGTATCCCTCCAAATGGATGAGATTGCTTTAATCTGGGTGAGAACCTCAGACCAACCTGGCATGGTCTGGTGTCATAGCCTCCACTGCTGCACAACCCCATCCAACAGGAGCTCCAGGAAAATGCCCAGAAAGCAGGGCTTTGATATCCCCCTATCTGCCACATCCAGGGAAAATGTCAGGAACCCATGCATGGCAGCTTTGGGCTGACAGTGCTTTCTCCGGGTGCACAACAGTCTTTTTAAAGTGGTGCTGGCATCAGGGTTATCAGTCAATTCTGGTATCTCTGGTGAGTGGCAAGTTGCTCCAGGAATGGTAAATTGTAAGATGGGTGGGAGTCAAAGTTGATACTCGCCGTAAGGGCAAAAATGACAATTAATATGATGAGTTTGGTAAGGTATGGTGAGAAAACTCACCAGAGCTTGCAGCAAGAATCATTGTAACAAACAACACAACTTACACTTAGCCAAACAGAAAAGAAAGATTCAGCCCTTTACTGGAGAGATTCAAATGTGGATTTCCAGGAAAGGTAAGTATTACCTTGTGGCATGACAATGGGCTGACTTACTATTTTTGGTTAAGGGTGAGTTGCATTGAGTATTTTGGACAGAATTGTGCTACGCGGCCCAGGAAGATATCTCATTGATACCTAACCTGCCCCTATGGGATCTTATGGCATGCCACTCCAAGAACCACTCGCCACTCAGTCCAAATGTGCTGAAGGACCAGCATCCCTTGTCTCTGCACCATATTTGAGGGACAGCTGAGCACTTGGAGAAACACTGGCAATCAGATGTTGATGGCTCACTAGTTGCATGATGGCAGAGCAGCCATAAGGTTCTGGTGTTAACAGCACATTGCCAACATGCTCACACTCATTTTCTTATCCCAGTCGCTGTTTAAACACCATGCCACACTTGTCCTTAAATACCACCTTGCATGAAGATCCACTCTGAGTCTTCAATACACTTTACCTGATGTCCAATGGTCACCCGCAACTTGTCATTGTCTCGTGAAGGAGCATCACAATAAAGGCAAGCATTAAGACAAGTCCAAACATGAGTCTTTATTGACAGCCGGCAAAAAAGAAACTCAAAAGAAATGAATACAGGCTTCAGTTCGCACCTAAAATGTAAACCAAATGCTGACATTTTTACCTTGAAGGTCCAGGATGGTTCTTTGGCACCCAGCTAACAACTACTGAAATCTGATGTGAATCAGGTCCTGTCTGTCTTTTAGGACCTGATGCAGATGAGCTCTGTCATTCACAAGGAGACATCCAGCTCAATACCCTCATCCTTCTACTTAGAAGGCTGCTCTCGTTTTCCTGAATGCCCAGCACTTATCACATCACCTTGTAGCTCCACCAGTTGTGTAGAACACAGCACAGCAGGATGGTGTGGCACACTCTGCATGGATTGGACTGGAGGACCATCCCAGACCACTCTCAGCTGCAGAACCTGACCTTCAACAGCTCCTTATTCTGTTCCAACACGGCTCTGGTCGCAGTATGTGCACCAATTCAGTGAAGATGCTGTGCCAACTGAGTTACCAACACATTACATCCAAAATAGAGTGCCTGCTGTGCTCTAACTCCCTTCTCATCCCAGACCAACCTCGACCATCCTACTTTCTATGTTATTCATGACAGTCCATCATCATGCTTCCATGACTTATGATGCAGTGATAGTCGCCTCATCTCAAAGTACCCTTGGAAGTCCCACAGATCAAGGGACACTCTTGCCCAGTATTTGCCACTTTTTAATCTAATGTTGCAAACTTCTACATCACTATGATCACACACTAGTCTAGCTTGCACCATGCACGGTGCAGTCTGCCTTTGAGTAACATTTGAAGCACAAAGATATTCACTCTGCATATAAGCGAAGAAACGTTTACCAATGAAATGTAGCTGGGGTTTGCAAACCCATGCCCCTGTATATGATCCTTCAATATCCTAATGCCCAGCAGACACGAATTCCACATTTTTTGGTCATCAAAGTGACATTGACTCCACTCACTCTAGGCATTGTCCCAGTCATGTATCAGTTACATTACATATCTAGAGAACGTAAAGTGATACAGGAAACACAACTCATGGTGGACACCATCAACAGTGAGCCTCTTGTGGTCACCAGGTACCCCTCCATGTCTTCTTTTATCTTGCATAACCACGTCATTCCATTTCAACCCATCTCCCCTCCCTCCTTTATGACTCCCCTGTGGTGACCACTGCCACTAAAGCACCTCTCTTAACTTACCAATGACATCCAATACTGTTCTGCCTAAACCCATACATCTTGAGTTTCTTCTCATCAGCGTCCTTGTCCCTAATCCACAGATGCCTCTGCTCTCACCTCCCAGCCTTGACGACCCCTTCCCCCACTGCCCTTATAGGCCCACCCGGCACCCTCCTAACAATTGACGGATAGACATACAGAAATGTTAATTTGTCCAAACCTTTGACCAACTTCTGAAGAAGGGTCTAGGCCCGAAACGTCAGCTTTCCTGCTCCTCTGACGTTGCTTGTCATCCAGCTCTACACCTTGTTATCTCAGATTCTCCAGCATCTGCAGTTCCTACTATCTCTTCAACAAGCAGCCCCTGGGTATGACTGACCACACCCCAACCACCGTCTGTGCAGCTCCCAGACTGACATAATGGAGCCACATGATCTTGATGTTGAGACAGGCCTTAGACTTCTCACCCAATTCTGAGATAAAATCTTGACAAAGCCCACATCGTTCAGACCCCTTTAAGATTTCATCTGACAAAGTTAAGAACTTTGGAAAGGATAGGATGGGTGGAGCTGAGTGTGTAGTTTGTGAGAAAACAAGGATCATGGGTTGTTCTGTTATGGAGAGGGGTGAAGACAGCAGATACAAGAAGGAGGCAGTACAACAGGTGGTTGAAATGTTCAATAACATTAACTCACATGACAGCTAAGGAGGGAGTCAACTGGTCAGCAGTTTAATGGGGATAGAGTCAAGTCAGCCGGAAGTGGAACTCATGAACATGATGAGCTTGAAGATCATACTAGAGAAAATAAAAGAGAAACAAAAGAAAACTATGGCAGGGAACAACCTTATTTCTTCTCACCCTGTCAACTTATCTTTCTATTGTTTCCTCCTTCATACACTTATTTAGCACAGATGTATTTCAGCTACAAACAGTCCAAGTGGTAGCAGGTTCACTTTCAGTATAAGGTCAGTTGCATGTGCAACACAATCGCAACATTAGTTACAACTTTAATTTTGAAGTTGGACACCAAGCCCCTCCCCCAGGCACTACCGCCACTTAAAAAAAGGGCAGTCACACATCACTTCAGTTTGACACTAAGTATACAATCATGTTTACATGTCAAACCATATTTACAAAGGGCACCAGACTAAGGACTGCAAAGAGACCAAGAGCTGCAACCTGTGTGGGGAAGTAAGCCATCTCTACAAGGTTTGGCTGAGACAAGGGGCCACAAATGGCCAGAAGTGACAACTTAAGCAGTTGGGCCCCCAAAAGACAGCAAGGCGTCACCCTCCAATAAGACAACTGAGAAAGGGAACAGCCAGAAGGAAAGAAAACTTATGAGAAATAAACAAAGATGCTCTAGGGAGTGATAAACCAACAGAACCTCCACCTGAGAATACAGAGTCAATGGAAGGAGGAGGAGACAGTAACAAACAGGACAGTGTGTGGCAGGTGATGAGGAAAACCCTCTACAGGAAAACCCTTCAATTACACAGGGCCAGCTGCAGAGTGTAGAGAGACAGCTGAAAGAAGGACAAAGAAACAGCTGTACAAAGGACACACCAGTGACTCTTCTTCCTACGGAAACATGCGGGAAGATTGCCTTAAACAGAATAGAAGCGAAGCACCAAGAGTGGGGAGGAGATGAACACTCCTGACACGGAAATGCTGGACATTGTGAGGGGCCTAGTGAAATCTCACTTCTTGATGTCGGGAACCACGAGGTACCCAACACAGCACAACTCCGAGAAACCGGGAGCAGAGCATAACAAAAGCTCAGCCCAATTTGGAACATGACATGAAACTGGGCTGTCACGTTCAGATTCCTGATGGAAACAGTTAAAGTCACCAAGCTGCATAACGTCTTCAGTACCCCTGCAGATGAAGCGCAGTGTAGATACTCCTGGGTCATGGCCAGGTAGGTCTATCCACTCAAGGATAGATTTCCTGTTTGTGTACCCAGTGTTATCAGCCCACGTCAGACTCTGACCACTGCCTCCTGCTGGCCAACTGTCACCAATAGACAACCAGCGGGCCAGCAAGCAAATGTGGAAGCTGAATATGAAATGTTTGACCTCAGAACACATTAAGTAACTCATGCGGGATTACACAGGTTAGAGAACCACGAAACCCCTCTTTCAGTCTCCAGTGGACTGGTGGGAAACAGTCAAAGGGAATATCAAGGGATTCTTCATCCTCAAAGGTGTTCAAAAGGCTAGAGAGATCAGGAAAACTGTCCAAACTTCAGAAGAGTCTGCAGAACCTCCTCCTGCTGCAGATGATGGGAGTCAATGTCAAGGAAGATCTCTAGGTGGTGAAGAACCCATAAGCCTCAGTCTTTGCCTTTTGAGGTCTCCAAGATAACCTTCTGGTCCAGGGTCCGCCCCATGGAGCAGGATGAGACATGCTCGTGTTTCTTCTTTCAGAAGGTGCACAGGAAGAGCTCCATGATCAACAGTCTGAAGGAAGAAGATAGCTCAGTAACGTCATCTCAGTCTGACATCTTGAGGATCAGCAAATCCTTTTACGCTAAACTGTATGACACGATGCCCATAGGCAGTGTGGTCTTCCAGTCATTCCTGTTGTCTATCGCAGCAGCATGGAGGAGAGTCTGGACCGGCTGTTATCCCTCAATGAGCTGACCAATATCCTTGAGTCCTTTTAGAAGACTAAAACTTCCAGAAGTGACAGGTTACCAGCCACATTGTATTCCGCTCTGTGGGACTTGGTTGGCTAGGACCTAGGGAGGTGTATGACAGTACGCTTCTGGCCGGTAGCATGTGCGAATCCATGAGGAAAGGTATCATCACCCTCATCTTCAAACAGAAGGGGAAGAGGGAGGAAATCAGAAATTGGTGACCAATTTCACTGCTGAATGTGGATTACAAAATTGCGCCAACCGCATCAGGTCTGCTCTGGGTCGGCGATTCATTACGACCAAACCTGTGCCGTACCGAACAAGAAGATCTCTTAGACCCTTGTGGTACTCAGGGATACGATCGCCTGTGCAGGACAGGCAGATGGATGCCTGCCTCATCAGCCTGGACCTTTGATAGGATATCACACACCTACATGAGGGATGGGCTCTCTACAATGACCCTGAGAGGAGTGGCTATTCTCGGCAGTGGAGACCTTCAGGTCAAAGCCTCCCTGTACATGGATGATGTCACCAATTTCTGCTCTGATCCGGTGTCACTGCGTAGACTCATGAGCATCTGAGACCAGAGCCATCTTGCACTTCATCTGGAAGTCAAAGATAGACTGTGTCCGTAGGGACACAATATACAAAGCTCTGGATAACGTGGGGGAAGGATGTATCCAACGCCGCCCTCATCCTGATGACCACCTTTGTGTGTGGCTGCATCAAGATGTGCATATACCCTCGGTAAGCAAACACTAAGTGTCACTACATATTGAGGTTCTATCTGTCCCCAGTGTTAGGATGGGTCTGGTCTTCTGGCCTTGGTGCTGCAGAATGCTCCAAGTAGTTGGACCGTTCCATATCACCTGTCCTTCATGGAAATATGTTCAAAGAAAAACACCTTTGATGAGTCCATCAGGCAGTCATCAGCACATAGTGTCCTTGAGATCCTGTGGTCAAATGAGAGGGTGGATGCTGTTGTGGATGGGGGTTGGTTCGGAAGGTGGGCGATGACCCTGAGCAAAATGTCAGAGTCATTTGGTAGAATGCCTCATCGTCAGAACTTTCTAACAAGTACCAAGACATAGCTTGGTTGGTGGTGAGAAGGGCACTGCCCATCAGATACTTCATGAATTAGTGGTAGGGCCTTGGGTAGTGTTGTAAAACAGAGGGACTTGGGGTACTGATGCATAATTCTTTAAAGTTTGCGTCACATTTAGACAGGATGCTTAAAAAGGCATTTGGCACACTTGTCTTCATTGCTCAGTCCTTGAGTATAGGAGTTGGGACATTATGCTGAGGTTGTGCAGGACATTGGTGAAGCCTCTTCTGTTATACTGTGTCAAGTTCTGGTTGCCCAGTTATAGGAAGGGTGATTTGAGAGGGTTCAGAAGAGATTTACTAGGACGTTGCCAGGTATGGAAGGTTTGCGTTATAAGGAAAGGCTGGATAAGCTGGGATATTTTGGAGCATTGAAGGTTGACAGGTGACCTGATAAAAGTTTATAAAATAATGAGAAGTATGGATAGAGTTGATGGTAGTTGTCTTTTCTCTAAGATGGGGAATTTCAAGGACAACAACGAGTCAAACTACAGAAGGGAGATGGAGGGCTTGGTGACGTGGTGCAATGAAAACAATCTGTCTCTCAATGTCAGCAAAACTAAAGAACTGATCATTGACTTCAGAAAAAAAGGAAGAAAACACGCCCCCATCTACATCAACAGAAATGAGGTTGAGAGGGCGAAGAGCATCAAGTTCCTTGGAGTGACGATAACTGACAACGTGTCCTGGACTTCCTACATAGATACAACAATCAAGAAGGCACAACAACACTTCTTCTTCCTCAGTCGGCTCAGAAAATTTGGCATGTCCATAAGGTCCCAGACCAACTTCTACAGATGCACCACCGAACGCATACTATCTAGGTGCAAAATGGCTTGGTATGGCAACTGCTCTGCCCTGGACTGTAAAAAACTACAGAAGGTGATGTGCACAGCCCAGACCATCACGGAAGCCAACCTTCCATCCATGGACTCCATTTACCTGGCTCACTGCCGTGGAAAGGCTGCCAACATCATCAAAGACCCATCGCACCCCAGTAATGATCTCCTACAACCTTTTCTGTCAGGCAGAAGATATAGAAGCCTGAACGCATGCACGAGCAGCTTCAGTAACAGCTTTTGCCCAGCTGTTATGATATTGATGAATAGAGTCTCTAGACTCAAATAATGCTGATCTTGCTAACGTTGATTCCGCCAAGTGCACGCCCTGTGCAGTGTTACCTGTATGCCTATGTCTAAGTCTGTTTGATCTGTACATTCTTACTTACTATGATCTGTCTGTACTGCTTGTAAACAAAACCTTTTCACTGTATTTCAGTACACATGACAATAAATCAATCAATCACTCAAAATCAATCAATTAATCAATTGAGGGCATATTTTTAAGGAGAGAGGACAGACATTTAAAAAAGACATAAGGGGCAAATTTTTTACACAGAGGATGGTTTGTGTGTGGTAGATGCGGGTACAATTACAGCATTTAAAAGACATTTGGAAGGATATATGAATAGGAAGGTTTTGGAGAGATACGGGCCAGGAGCAGTCAGGTGGGACTAGTTTAGTTTGGGATTAAGTTTGGCATGGAATGGTTGGACGGAAGGGTCTGTTTCTGTGCTGTAGGACTCTATGAATGCCAGTCTCTGTGTGACACTGCATACTGCCTTCAAAGCAGCTGCACTGCTGAAGAAACTGTCATTCATCTCCTTCCGGAATGTGCCTTCGCAAAGGAAGTCAGGAGAGAAATGCATTGGTTTTTGTCGAGGTTTGTACCGAGCAGTTGAGACGCATGACTAACGCCCTCTGTGTCTAAGGGCCGTTCTTCATGACGCACATTGAGACAAACATTGACTGCACCTGGAGGACCATTGACTTGGTGAAAGGTGCTCTTTGATCTGCCCGAAACTTGCTGGTCTTCTAGTGTACAGAATTGACCTCAAATGAGTGTTGCAGACTGTCACATTCCATGTGACCATATGCTGCGGGACGCACTAAAGCTTGGGGCAGCTGCCACAAAAGCGCAGTGGGGAAAGACCACCATCTACAGACTTTCTGCCAAATATAACAAGAGTCCATCAAGTTGTCAGACCCTCTTTGTGCATCAAAATGAATGTAAATCATTACCTGTATAAATAGGAAATGCCTTTGATTTTTGCAACTGTAGAGAAGCTCAGAGAAAGTCAAAGTTCCAATGTTTTGTTTTTTTTTTCTCTGCAAGGAGTGTAAAGATGTGATTTTGAACCTCTGTATGCACTAATAGATGATTTTTATGAATAAAGTATATTTTTGAAATAAAAAAATTAAGAAATTTACATAGTGTTTTTCAAACCTCAAAGCTTTCTAAAATGTTGCACAGCTAATTAAGTATTTTCAAACTGTAGTTATGATTGCAATGTTGAAACACACACAGTGAGGTCCCACCTTAGAATTATGCTTATGACTTCATTAACTGTTTCTTACGAATGCGAAATACTGCAAAGGCAGGAGAACAAAAATAAAACAGAAAATATGAGTAATACTCAGGAAGTCTGGCAGAATCTGTAGAGAGAAAAAAATAGAGTTTATGTTTTGCAATGCTGCCAGACCTGCCGAGTATTTCAAAATTTTCTGATCTGTTTCTCAGTCATATTTAAACATTGGCCTGAACACCAGAAAAATAATTCTCCTGCTCCTCTTTGAAATAGTGTCATGCAATCTTTTATATCCAGCCAAGAGGAAGGCAAAACCTGAGTTTAGTATCTCATCCAAAGGAGGACACCACTAACAGTGTAGCACTCTTTCAGTAGGGTACTGGACAGCCAGCCTCATTTGTGCTCTGGAGTGGGTGGTGAAGGTATGTGGCAATATTCTCCTGAAAAATTGCTGTAGTGTCATGGTAATGTTGCTATCATTCTCTGATTGAGAAACAATCCTCAAAATTCAATGAGACTGAAGGAAAACTAGTATTAATGTTAATAGTAGCTCTTTGTAAATGTGGTGACAACAAGAACACAAACTGTGATACTGAAAAATTTCAGACAGTGATTGTTTGCCTTCCCTGTAAAGTTGCAAAGCATATCAGTTATGAATTAGAAAGTGCAGCAGCTCATGGGCTTCTGTCAAGTCATTGTGTAACCAATTTGAAGTGTTTCACAGAGCTTCCAGTGATTTTCCTTATGAATTTTTCATATTCTTCTGCATTTGAATGTTTGCCCTGATAGCAGCATCGCCCATGCTAACCAAGCAGGGGTTGAAAGCTCATTGCTTGCTAAGCCAGGGAATAAATCTGTCATAATCTGTGATATGGAACACTGGGGTTTCATGACCACATATAAAAGTGGTATTCCCTCTCTGAGTATTAATCTCACTGATAATGAAATAAAAAATTAATTGGATTTCACAAACAAAACAACTCATCCGTTCCCATTATTGCCTACAGAACTAACAATATCATTTCCAAAGAAACTGGACAATAGTCTATGATTAAATATTTCATCCTCTGTGATTTCCTTATGTAAGACATTGAATAAATCCTTATGGCATCTAATTGGTCCCTAACCTTCTTCAAATGGACACATTCAAACAATTCAGAATCATGCAGATTACCACAGTCCAGACTTCTGCTTTAAAGAGAGGAATTATTTGAACAATTTTATTCAGACAATAAGGTAGAGGGAATTCTAAATCCTAAGAGCATTCACTGTCATTGCAGAGAAAATAACCAGCTGATTACGGCAACTGCTTGACCTGGAGAAGCAATTAGCCTTTGATGCCAAGCTAATTAATAAATTCTGAGGTAATTTGTCCAATTGAAGAAATAAACAGGGAATATTTAATAGTCTATCCAGCCTGTGGAAGAAATGCTTTGTCTTAGCTTTTCATAAAAGACGAAGAGTGTATTTCAACAAATAGAAGACCTGAACACTTTACAGTCATGCACAAGGAACATATCAAGTGACTCCTGTTTTGTAACTAGTTGAGCTGAGACATGTATCCCACAGTGACTTCACAGAATACTGTAAGTTGTTTTAAGTCCAAACATTTTCACTGGGAGAATATCAGTGAGTATTTCTCTAACTGTAACAAATAAGAAAAGGATGTTGCCCTTCCCTTAGAGCATTAAGCCAGAGGTCTGGGGTGAAAACTGACATTTGGCACTGATGTCTGGGGGCAGGCTATTGTTGCTAGTACATGTAAGTATGAATCAGTGCTGGTCATACTGGTAAGGAAGAGATGGGTGAGAGGTGATGTAATGTTGGCATTTAAAATAGGATATCAACAGTAAAGTGCTAAGTGTCTTTGTTTCATATTTCTAAACCAGAACGTTACTTAAGTACATAGTACATTGCGTTTAAAAGCTGATTCCATTCAAAAGTGCAATCAAAGACACTCTGTTCAGTCTCCTGTTACTTTACAAGTAAAATGCTTAAGTCCTGTTATGTGGTACGAGTTAACTGGACAAACGTTACAAGGAGAATACCTGGTTTGAAGATACTTCCAACTTTTAGCACCTAAAAATGGTCATTAGATTTTCTATTCAGCGCACTGAGCGTAATAGACTAGAACTGCTTTGCGCTGTAAACGATGCAGACTAGACTGGGGAACAGACTAATCTGGCAATCAAAACCTTAACAGTCAACAATCTGATGTTGGAAATTAACCAAGAGGCAGGAAGCCAGTCTAGTTCAGAGTTACCAGGGCACGAATCACCTCGATTGAATCCACATCTCCCAGGATACCAAGTAAACTGTCTAGCTGATGTAGTGCACAGGAGAGAAGTTTGTTCCCAATGTATTTTGATTAATTCAAATAGGAGCCAGATGCTGTAACGGCCACTGGATGGCTACAAGTAACGTGAATTAGCAGCAGTGGGCACAGCGCGGTAGCAAGAGGGTTGCATTGCACATAAAATACCCGGAAAAGCAAAACACAGATTATAATTCTGGGATCCTATTACAAGTATAGATTGTTTGTTAAAAAAAAAGTCTCACCATCGTTCGATGCTACGAAGGCATCGGTTACGTTGATCAGAACATAAAGTATTTGCAGCCTTGCTGCCAAACCGTTGCGTCCAAGTCTTCTTGTCATCTTGTGCAGACTATGAGATAACTTTGCGATCGTTTCATGTGACTGGAGGAGGGAGATCAGCACCATAATATAGAGTGAGCCGAGATCAGGACGTGGGAGATTTCCGGCAGAGGGTCACTCTCCTCCTTCAGCCCTCCCAGACGAGGCTGGATCACGGTTACTGTCACAAAGTTCACTAGGGACAAAGGCTGTAAAGACATGTGTTCCTAAAGCAACGGGACACGGTTCAGATGCCCAATTCATGTGCTCCAGACCCAAACGGGAAACCCCGCTCTAAAAATGCCACCTTAGCAGCTTCTTTCCTCCCAGGAAAGCTGTTCGCCCGACCACTAATGCAGGTTTCCGCGTGGTCCTAAAGCCCGGCCAGTTCAATGTTCAGTTTGAAAATATGAATGGACCAATGCTGCTGACGTAATCAAAACAAAACGTCCTCTTGAACGGTTCTCTGGGCAGAAAGAGAGATACTTTTTCTCCCGTAAAGCCTGAAGGGAGAATAGCAATTTGGCCTACAGTGTCTTTCCAAATCTGATGTTGGATTTCTGAAACTTCAGGCACAGCAAAAACTCTGAAGGATTGGGAGTGCAGTGTTATATTTAACAAGCTCAAAATGCTCACTGGCGCCGGGTTGATAGCAGTGTGCAACAATGTTTCGTAACTAAATCACAAAGTGCACACAGTAGTACAGACAAACGAAGCAGAAACCATTGAGGCGGTAGGCAGTGTGTGTATCTTTAATAGTTGAAACTCTCAGCTCGGTTTTTGTTCGCTTTTTCGGAAGTGTGGAGGGGGAGGGGTGTTCTTATTGCATTCCACCACAAACTTTTACAAACTTCACAGAAAAATCGAGAGATAAGTTTGAGACAGAAATACCAGTGACACAAACTATATGTGCGCCCACCAGAACTCCTCCAAAACAAGGTCGCATCGGGCAGAAACGTTTCCAGCCTGTTTGCAATCACATTCTCAACGACACTTTGAATAAAATAATCAATATTCTCCTTACACTGAAACAACTCTTGTCCCGGGAAATCTGTGTGATATCGTGGCAGCAGGTCTATAATATGGAGATGAAACTAACATGTTTACGTACAGCATTTTACAACTACAACCGTCAAGTAAAGTCAATACTATAATACAAGGATACTCCTGAAAGCCATTTACTTCCATGGCACCATTGGAGGGAAGTTTCGCCGGTTTGATCCACACTGCATTAAACAGGATCGCCAAAAATCAAATTATCTGGTCAATGGTGTTTATGCAAAATTGCTGCCGCTTTTGTCTACACAATTTCAGATTAATTAATTCCCTGCATTGTTTTGGAATCGTTCTGGAAGATGTGATGAAGTGATATCAAATTAAATAATTGTTATTATTTCACTGCCAATCTCAGAATGGTTACAATTGCATTATATTGTACTGGATTATATGGAATTGTCGCAGTTTTCCATCTTGCCTATGATGTGATGTTGCCCCAGCAGAGTATTTTACCTGATGTGCCAATGCTTGTTATCTGCCATAACAAAATAAACTGGGCCTGGATATTGTAGTATAAAATAATCCAAAACATTTCCATTACAGCTAACTATTATATACAGACATTAAATTCACAGGCCCATGAGTATCTGGACTAAAATTAAGCTATTAAAACAGAGGATGGTTTTAATAGTGTGTCATGCTTCAAGTACTCCAAGGTAAGATGTAGTTTTGAGACCTTTACATCCTCAAGTCACATGCTGTGGTGGAGTGAGGATATCGAGAGCAAGTCTCCTAAAAGAATTTGACCATGAAACATAACACAACAACCTTTATTCCCCCAAAGACAAAAGCATGACATGTTGCCAATTCACTAATTATACAAACAAGTAAGAAAGACCTTACAAGACTAACCTTTCAGTCTTCAATGTAATGCTTTGGAGGTCAGACAAGTCGTGCTGATCTGGTGATCATGTATTCTCCTGGCGAGGTACCTATTGTTCTCTGTTGAACTTGTTTGACAACTTGGTTTTGTTGTTGCTGGTTGCTGTCACTCAACATCGCCACACAATCATCATCATCGACATGTTCTTCCCTTGTCTTCATGCATAATAGGTGTGCCATTCATTAGTCTGAGCTGGCTTCTGTTCCTTTGTAATGTGGTACCATGATCAGAGAGAAGCAGGTGGGAAATGGATGTTATGACAGTCAGTCTGCAGCATCCGGATGAGAGGGACTAAATGCTGACAGATGGCAGGTAAAGGTCTAAATCTTTTCATACAATCTATTTTATTTGTCATGAAACTGTAGATTTCAGTTAAATATTAAGTTATAAAGTTCCTAGCCTTAAGCTTGGTTTTAACAAGGTTTCCATTGAAACAGCAGTTGGAAACAAAAACAGAAAATGCTGGGAAAACTCGGCCGGTCTAGCAGCATCTGCGGAGAGAAAGCAGATTTAATGTTGCGGGTCCAGTGACTCTTCTTCAGAACCTGTAGAAAGAAGAGTTGGGCTTATTTAATTAAACAAGCAACTTAGCACTTGACTGCAACTTGTTACTGAGTACTGGGAGTTAGGGACTAAAGGAGCTAGGAGAGGAAGGGGAAAAGATGTTCCTTTGTTTTTGCTTTTCCTAAAATTTTCAGCCTCAAGGAATTAGTTCTTACTGTGCTACAGGAGGGAAATCTAGTTATTTGATGACTATTTGGTGACTGACTAAATTTTAGCCTATTCCTCAGGTTTAAAATAGTACAGCAGCTGGTGGTACAGTTATTCAAATTATAATTGAAAATAAGAAAGTATTTACTCAGAGCACATTAATGATGGCAGGACAGTGATGGATCACAGCTGAAACATGTCAGAATTCCAGGATGCCAGTGTGATCCAAGATAAACATGTCTGTGGTAAGCCATAGGCTCAGAGCTTATGTGCTGCAGGGTGAACTACAGACACTGCAGTGCTTCAGAGACTAGGAGAGTTGCCTGCATATTTTGTACCAGGAAGCAGCCACAACTCTTAGGACGGATCTTCTGATTAGGTCAGTGCTCATGGACAGGAGATTGAGACAACAAGTGAGGCAGGTGAGGGAACATAGACGGCTGGAGACAGGAGCTCTGCACTGCAGTTGTCCAATGGGTTTGAGGTCCATTGAGCTTGTTTAACGTGAGTGAGGCCAACTGATCATGGCATTGCGGTAGAGAAGCCATTCAAATGGGGGAGCAGAAAGGAACATGATAGTAGTAGGGGACATTATAGTTGAGAGATTGACAGCATTCTCTGCAGCAAAGGGTGAGAGTTCAGACGGTTGTGTTGCCTGCCGATTTCCAGAGTTCAGGGCTCCATACCTGAGGGGTAGAGAGGAATTTTTGATGGGAGGGGAAGAACCAAGTAATCATGGTCCCCTAGGTACAAACGACATCAGCAGAACACAGGAAGTAGTTCTGCATAGTTAGTATGAGGAACTGGGTGCTAGGCACCAATTTAAGAACCTCAAAGGTCGTAATATTTAGATTATTACCTGAGCCATGTGTAATTTGGCACAGAGCAAATTAGATTAGGGAGAATAATGTGTGGCTTAAAAGTTGATAGGAGAGAAATAGTTTCTGGTTGATGGGGCACTGGTACCGGTTCTGGGGAAAGTGGGATCCCTACCATTGGGACGGTTTCCACAAGCCATGCTGGGGCTGATGTTCTTGCAAGCTGGATGAGGGAATTATACAGACTTTTAAATGAAGTAGAGAGGGCAAGGGATCAAATCTGAGAAGATGTAATAAATCAAAATGTGTGATACAAGACAAAGAGAAAGGTTTTAACACTGGATAAACAGACTGTGACAGGAAAGAATAGAGGGGACAAATCTAACAGAAAATCAACATATGACTAGAGTTACAAAAAAAAAGGATATAACTAAAACCTCTGTAACTGAATGAAACAAAATAGATGAACTGAGAGCACAAATAGAATAAGTAAGTACGATCTGGTAGCAATTACAGAGACGTGGCTGCAGGCTGACATGGATTGATACCTGAATATTGAAGGATATAGGACATTTAGAAGGACAGGGAGTTAGGAAAATGCCTAGTGTGACTTGATTAGTTAATTATGGTATTATTATAATAGAGTGGAATGACTTAAATTAAGGAAACCAGGATGTGGAATCAAGCCCCTAACAGTAAACGTACAGTAAAGTGGAATGTAAAGGAAGAAATAGAAGGAGCTTGTCAGAAAGACATGAGGATAATCATCGGACATTTTAATCTACACATTGACTGGAAAAGTCAAAGGGGCAAAGGTAGTGTGGATGAAGAATTCATAAAATGTTTTCAGAATAGTTTTTTGGCACAGCATATTCTAGAGCTAGCCAGAGAGTAGGCTGCACTAAACCTAGTATTGTGCAACAAGCAGCATTATTTAATCAGCTCGTAGTGAAGGCAAGCATGTAGTAGCGACCATAATCTGATTGAAGTTTGAGGGAGAGAGGAGTGGGTCCAAGACTGTTTTTTCAGAAACTTAAAGAAGGACAATTGGGAAGTCAAGAAAGCCGAGGTGGTTATGGTGAATTGGCAAATTAGGTTAAAGGTTAGGTAAATAGAGAAGCAATAGCAGGCATTTAAGGGGATATTTCAGTGGACTCAGAATAGATTAACTCCAATGAGTAATAAGAATTATAAGGAATGGACCCATCATGTCTGGTTTATTGAAAGGGTTAAAGATCATACCAAAATGGAAGACATATAAATGTGCAAAGACAATTGGCACATCAGAAGATTGGACAGAATGAAAAACAGCAAAGATAGGCCTAAAAAATAATGGGTTGTGGGGGTGGGGGGTGCGGCGGTGGTGGTTGCAGAAATATGAATATCTGAGAAAGCTAGCAAGAAATATAAAAACAGTAATTTCTATAAATATTTATAAGACAGCAGACTTTTGGAAGTGAGTCTGGAGAATTGATAATGGAACACAAAGAGATGACAGCTGAATAGAATAGATATTTTGCATCAGTCCCCGTCATAGACGATACAATATCCCAGAAATGGTAGGAACTGCAGATGCTGGAGAATCTGAGATAACAAGGTGTAGAGCTGGATGAACACAGCAAGCCAAGCAGCATCAGCGGAGCAGGACCCAGAAGGGTCTAGGCCCGAAACATCAGCCTTCCTGCTCCTCTGATGCTGCTTGGCCTGCTGTGATCATCCAGCTCTACACAATATCCCAGAAGCTGCTTTAAATCAGGAGATGGAAGGGGAGGGCCTCAGGAAAATTACAAACACCACAGAAGTCATACTGAGTAAATTATTGGAGCTGTGGGTTGACAAGTGCCTCAATCCTGATGGACTTCATATTAAGATCTTAAAAGAAGTGGCAATAATTGATGCATTGGTTTTAGTTTTCCAAAACTCCCTTGATTCAGGGAATGTCCCATTTCATTGGGAGATAGCAAATATAAGTATTATTTTCTAAAAGGGAGGGAAACAGAAAAGAGGAAACTACAGGCTAGTTAATTTAACATCTGTCATAAGGAACATAATAAAAGCTGTCATTAACTAAATTACAGCAGGACACATAGATTAGTTTATGGCAGAATCAACATGATCTTGTGAAGGGAAATCATGTTTAACTGATCTGTTGGAGTTCCTTGAAGGGGGAATGGTGGATGTACTAGCATTTCCAAATGGTATTCGATAAAGTACTATGTCAAAGGTTATTGGGGAATTTTTTAAAAATGCTATAAGGAGTGACGCATTGCCATGGATAGAAGACTGGCTGGTTAGCAAGAAATACAGAATAAACATAAATAAGTATCTTTCATACTGACAGGACATAATAAGCAGTGTTGGGACCTCAACTGTTTACAATAAATAGCTTGGATGAAAGGACAGAAAGTATGTTTGCAAATTTTCTGACGACAAAAAGATGGGGTAGATTTCATAAGGTACATAGGAAAGTAAGCTCTGTAGACAACATAGGAGGGTACAAAATGTTTTGGTAGATTGAGTGAGTGATAAAAATCTGCCAAAGGTAGAATAATGTAGAAAAATATGAAATTGTCCATTTTGATAGGATAAATGAAAAGCAAGCATATTATTTAAATGGTGAGAGATTGCAGAGCTCTAAGATGCACAGGGATTGGAGTGTCCTAGTACATGAATCGCAAAAGGTTTGTCTGCAAGTAATGAGGAAAGGTAATAGAATTTATCATATATTGTGAGGGGAATTGAATACAAAAATAGCGCATTTTTGCTTCAGTTATACAGGGCACTGGTGAGAACAAATATTTTACTAAACTGGTACTTGGAATGGGCAGGTTGTCTAATGAGAAAAGGTTTGGCAGGCTAAGGTTGTATTTGCTGGAGTTTAGAAGACCAAGAGGTGACTTGAATGAAATACATAAGATCCTCAGTGTTCTTGACGGGGTAAATGTGGAGACGATGTTTCCTCTTATGAACTGGGGGTCACTTTTTAAAGTGTTGCACGTTTAAAGCAGAGATGAGATTAATTTGTTTTTCTCACAGGGACCATGAGTCTTTGGAACTCTCTTCCCATGAAAGCAATGGAAGCAGAAAGTTTGAATATTACTAAGGCAGAGGCAAATTCTTGGGAAGCAAGGGGGTGAAATGTTATTATGAGGTGAAAGCCATGATCTGATAGAATGGGGAAGCAGACTTGAAGGACCAAAAGCCATAATCCTGTTCCTAAATCTTATGTTCCTCTGTGGTTACGGTAGCAAGTGACTTCCACCCAACCAGTGTGAAGTCTACTGTGAAAGGATTCTCGGGTCATTTATCTTTTGTGGGTTTGGATTTGAAAATGAGACCTATTACTTCTGTCATGAATAACTCTGTCATGATCTCATTGATGTGTATCTGAAGCTAATTTACATCAACAAGAAAGTAGCAATGTAAATGTTGTACGAAACCAATGAATCCACAACACCAGATATCTGCGCTGCCAATTTAAAACACCAACTATAGATAGAACATGAAACACAAAAAAGAGACAGAAATCATTCAGCATCTGGGGTAACAATAAATCAACATAAAGTTCAGTGCCCCTAATACATCCTTGAGAAGATGGTGGCAAGAAGGCAGTCAAACAATGCAAGAGGAAATTCCTTGAACATTTCCCATCTTCAACAATGGTAAAACCCAGCATGTGAGTCCAAAAGACAAGTAAAGGGTTTTCAGCTGTCTTCAGTCAAATGTTTAAAGCGAACAATCTTAATTTGGTTTCTTCCTAAAACTGCCACCAGCTTAGGTGTC